AGATACGCACTACCAACCAATAGGGGGGGGCACTTGGGGATATCGACCATGGCGAAGACTAGCCTGCGCTCTACTGCAATGCCTCGAGGCAAAAAGTCTGGCAATCTTAGTCCAACTGTCACTCTGGCGAAGATGGCGACTCCAGCGGAAGTCTGTCCCTGAGCACATGCAACGGCAGGTGAACACAACAGGTTCCATCCCATAGCCTTGGCTGAACTCGCTCGCTCCCCCAATCGATCTTCATCAAAACCGATTTCCTGAGCGCACAACACGAGGGCCTGGGTCGACGCTAACCTCTTCTTAAGTGTGCCCCAGCTGTTCCCATTATAACTTTCCAAAACATGAGACGTATCATTGTCATTGACGCGGGGGGCGGCTCGTGGCGGACAGCCTACCCCATGCTTAGACAACTTAAAACCCGTGCATTTCGGCACGAAGTCACATGCTACCCCACGCGAGCACACTCCGCTGGGGTCATGAAAGCCGTCGTCAGACGCTGGCGGCAGAGGCACGTCATCTGACTTCTGCTCCATGCGCAGGTCATCTGACGGCTGCTCACAAAGCCGCTGAAGAAGAAACCAGAGAGCCTGCATCACTCGATAATCAAACTGCACAAGCCAGAGACTCGAAAAGCAGCAATCGAACAAAAACATACCTACGTCATCGATGCACGAACTCCTCCGATGCTTGTTACACTCGACACAATCCCTGGCGTCAAAGCTGCGACGTCTTGGGACGTTTCGCTCTGGCACCCATGATCGCCTCCAGGATAGCCCCAGCCTCAGCCTCAGTCTGCCTCAACCTCAGCCTGCTTCAGCCTCAGCCACAGTCTGCCGTCGGCCTGCCTCAGCCTCAGCCTGCCGCAGTCTCGGCCTGCATCAGCCTCAGCCTCAGCATCAGCCTGCCTCAGCCTCAGTCTCAGCCTGCCTCAGCCTCAGCCTCAGCCTGCCTCAGCCTCAGCCTCAGCCTGCTTCAGCCTCAGCATCAGTCTGCCTTCAGCCTCGGAATCAGCCTCCGCCTGCCTCAGCCTCAGCCTGCATCAGCCTCAGCCTCAGCATCAGCCTGCCTCAGCATCAGGCTGCCTCAGCCTCAGCCTCAGCCTGCCTCAGCCTCAGCCTCAGCCTGCTTCAGCCTCAGCCTCAGTCTGCCTTCAGCCTCGGCCTCAGCCTCAGGCTGCCTCAGCCTCAGCCTGCATCAGCCTCAGCCTCAGCCTCAGCCTGCCTCAGCATCAGCCTGCCTCAGCCTCAGCCTCAGCCTGCCTCAGCCTCAGCCTCAGCCTGCTTCAGCCTCAGCCTCAGTCTGCCTTCAGCCTCGGCCTCAGCCTCAGCCTGCCTCAGCCTCAGCCTGCATCAGCCTCAGCCTCAGCCTCAGCCTGCCTCAGCATCAGCCTCAGCCTCAGCCTCAGCCTCAGCCTGCCTCAGCCTCAGCCTCAGCCTGCTTCAGCCTCAGCCTCAGTCTGCCTTCAGCCTCGGCCTCAGCCTCAGCCTCAGCCTCAGCCTCAGCCTGCATCAGCCTGCCTCAGCCTCAGCCTCAGCCTGCCTCAGCCTCAGCCTGCCTCAGCCTCAGCCTCAGCCTCAGCCTCAGCCTCAGCCTGCCTCAGCCTCAGCCTCAGCCTGCCTTCAGCCTCAGCCTCAGTCTGCCTTCAGCCTCAGGCCTCAGCCTCAGCCTGCCTCAGCCTCAGCCTCAGCCTGCAGCCTCAGCCTCAGCCTCAGCCTCAGCCTGCCTCAGCATCAGCCTGCCTCAGCCTCAGCCTCAGCCTGCCTCAGCCTCAGCCTCAGCCTGCCTCAGCCTCCTCAGCCTCAGCCTCAGCCTGCCTCAGCCTCAGCCTCAGCCTGCTTCAGCCTCAGCCTCAGTCTGCCTTCAGCCTCGGCCTCAGCCTCAGCCTGCCTCAGCCTCAGCCTGCATCAGCCTCAGCCTCAGCCTCAGCCTGCCTCAGCATCAGCCTGCCTCAGCCTCAGCCTCAGCCTGCCTCAGCCTCAGCCTCAGCCTGCTTCAGCCTCATCCTCAGTCTGCCTTCAGCCTCGGCCTCTGCCTCAGCCTGCCTCAGCCTCAGCCTGCCTCAGCCTCAGCCTCAGGCTGCCTCAGCATTCAAAATGTGGCCCAGGAATGGAGTTCTGGGATGTCGAAGAACACGAAGTGGCCTACAGTTGGCTCCGGGCATTCAAAATGTTGCCCGGGAATGGAATTCGGGGAAGTCGAAGACCACGAAGTGGCCTACGGTTGGCTCCGGGCATTCAAAACCATACCCAGGAATGCTGTTCTGGGAACTCGAAGAACACGAAGTGGCCTACAGTTGGCTCCGGGCATCCAAATGTGGCCCGGGAATGGAGTTCTGGGAAATCGAAGAGCACGAAGTGGCCTACAGTTGGCTCCGGGCATCCAAAATGTGGCCCGGGAATGGAGTTCTGGGAAGTCGAAGAGCACGAAGTGGCCTACAGTTGGCTCCGGGCATTCAAAATGTGGCCCACGAATGGAATTCTGGGAGGTCGAAGAGCACGAAGTGTGTGACTGTTTGATTAAAACGAGCCCGGCCCTGAGCGCGGCCCTCGCTGTCCGGATGCCGCCCAGACCTCCCTTCTGAGTCATCAGATGCTCTCTTTTGACACCACTAGAAACCTATCAGTCTTCGCTGTTAGGTAAAAACGCTCATCACGCTCAGGCTCACACGTGCTCAGAATCACTCGTGCGCAGACTCGCTCACAGTTAGACTCCATCCAGACTCGCCCATACTCGCAACCAAACTCACATCCAGGCTTACTCACACTCAAACTCTCTCGCGCTCAGACTCACTCACACTGAAGCTCTCTCGCGCTCAGATTCACGCATAACGAGACTTTCTCATAGTCAAACCCACTCGTACTCAGGTCCTCTAACTCTAAGACTCACTCACAACCAACATAAATCATACCCGGACTCACACTCAGACTCACCCACGCTCAGATCACCCACGCTCAGATTCACTCAGTCTTCTCTCTGTTGGTGGTCCAATGCTCCCTCGATCTTTCACTTGTGTTTCCCTCATCTCCCCTGAAAGATGTCCAGAGGAGACAAACGTCACTGAAGTCGTCGCTGTCGTCCTCATTGTCGCGCCCGTCGTCTACGCGGACTCGCTCTAACACCCAGATGCTCACAGACAGAGTTCCTCAACGAGACGTGACAGGAATGTGAAATTCACATGTAGGATATTCCGCGTAAAGCAAGTTTACAATTTCGGGTAACGGTCCTTATCCGCGGGGGATGTGCTCTTGGGGCCCAGGGTAACAGTAAAGCTTCCGCGGGGTGGGGCATGTCGAGGCGGGGGTGCGCTGCGATCGCCAGTTGCGCGCGAGCACCGACATGGGAAGGGTTCGGCCCCTCCCTCCCCGACGTCGTAAATCGTTACCGTTATCCGGGGAAATGGGGGTAGAAGGGGTTTGGCCTGGGTATCGACCGTTACGCGCCAGAGGATAAACTTACCCTGGCGGAAATACCAACCCTCTGTGAACGCGTGGCGACTGTGTGCAGGACCCTCAATGCGCATGAAACATACTGCGGGATTTGCAGCATCCCTGAACGCGTCGCCGGAGAACACAAGGCCACACTCAACTGCGCGGAGGCGACACCATGCGCACGCAGCAACCGAGGGCTTCGCTGGACCTCCCTATGTGGCTGCGAGTCATGTGAAGGGTGCGTTGGAAAGGGGCGGGGCCGCATGCGACCGCGACACTGGCCTGCGGTGGGGCTGCTAATTGGGACCACGAAGCGCATGAGGGGTGTGCTGTAATGGGGCGGGCTGCATGCGACAGTAGCCACTAGGGCCTTCGCTGGAGCTCCCCATGGGGCCACGAAACGTGTGGGGCCTTCGCTGGGGCTCCCCATGGGGCCACGAAACGTGTGAGGGGTGCGCCGAAAAAAGGCGGAGCCGCATGCGACCGCAGCCACTGGGGCCTTCGCTGGAGCTCCACATGGGGCCACGAAGCCTTTGAGGCTTGCGCCGAAATGGGGCGGGGCCGCATGCGACAGCAGCCACTGGGGCCTTCGGTGGGGCTTCCCGCGGGGCCACGATAAACGTCTGAGGGGATGATGATGATGATGATGTTGTTGTTGATGATGACGGCGGTAATGATGATGATGATGATGATGATGATGATGATGATGATGATGATGATGATGATGATGGTGATGATGATGATGATAATGATGATGATGATGATGATGGTGATGATGGGGATGATGGGGATGGTGATGCTAATGGTGGTGATACTGACGATGACGATGATGATGGCGATGCTAATGCTTATGATGATGATGATGGCGATGGTGCTGCTGGTGATGATGATGGTGATGTTCATCATGATAAAATAATGATGGTGATTGTGAAGCAATACTATCATGATGATGTTGGTGACGAAGATGTCGACGAAAACATGAAGATACTGATGGTGATAATGGCGATACTGATAACTACGATAATGGTGATGCTGATGATGATGGATGGCGGTTGTGATGTTGTTGATGGTGGTGGTGATGGTGACGATACGTATGAATATTAATGTAACGGTGAAGATGAATACTGTGCTGCTGATGTTAATGCTCAGTATGGTGATGATGTTCTTGATGAAGACTACAAAGATTGATGATGCTGATGATGCTGCCGCTGATGATGATGGTGATGAGTAAGTTATGATGAGGGCGATGATGGTGATGACGAAGATGACGATGAAGATGAACATGCTGGGTATGCTTCTGCTGATAATGATAATCGTGAAAACGGTGGTGGTGATGATGAATGTGATGGTGATGGTGACGACGATGATGCAATTGGTGATGCCGATGCTGCTGATGATGACTATGATGATGGTGGTGGTGGTGATGATGCTGCTGATGATGATGGTGGTGATGCTGATGATGCTGATGATGTGGATGATCATATCAAGATTTTGAACGTGATGTGGATGACGACGATGGAATTACACCGTCGGACGTCTGGGTACAAGCTCGCGGCTTCGAAGAGTGGTGTCCTGTACACCTGGGGATGACGATGGCCCTGGCTGGGGATTGTGGTGGTGAGCAGCTGCACTCTGTGCATCCTGCTTGTACGCGGTCGGCGCCAATGCGCCGTGCGCGAGGCCGTGGTAGCCGCCGGAGAAGGCGAGGACGCCTGACCGCCCGGTGGCCAGCGCGGCCGTCTTCAGCGCGGCCTGCACGGCGTCGGCGCCCGAGCAGCCGAGGATAGCCTTGTCCATGCCGTGGCCGACAAAGGCGCAGAGCTCCTCCAGCAGCGCGATGCGCGTCTCGTCGGCGAAGGCGTCGCCCATGGCGTGAAGCAGCGGCACCGCCGCCTGCCTCGTGAGCGCGTCGCACACCGCGGCGCGGGCGTGGCCCAGCGCAGCCACGCCGAAACCGCTCGTCACGTCGACGAAGACGTTGCCGTCGACGTCGAGCACGCAGGCGCCCCGCGCGGCCCTCCACACGATCGGGTCGGCCGACGCCGAGCCCAGCGCACATGCGCGCCGAGCACGCCGCGCGGTGATGGCCGGGCACTCGTGCCGAGCGAGCCGGTCGACAAGCGCGATCGACTGTGGGCCGGGTATCTTCGTGCGCAGGCTGGGCAGCTCGTCGCCGCGGAGGCGGTGGCTGCGCCGGCGGGAGCCGCGGCCCAGCGCGAGGCAAAGAGCAGCGCCCACCGCTGCACCAGAGAGCAACAGAACGGCTTGATGTGTCGCTGCAGCTGGCTGGGGCGGACCGGGCAGCAGCGGCCAAGTGAACCCCTGCAGGCTGCCGGCCGCGGTCATGCAAAAACTGGCGGGGGCTGACGGCCGAGGCTCCAGATGGGTGGCCAGAATGGCTGCGGAAGGAACGAGGAGGAGCACGCCATCGCCCTCCATTTTTCTGATTGGGTTCGCGCTCCCCCTCCCACTGCCACGTCGCCCGCCTGCTCGCGGGCTGCATCATGGTACCGCCACAAAAGCAGAAGGGCAATATCACGCGATATCTGCGTCACGTAGTCTCGTGGGCGAGAAGACGCTCGTGGTTGTGGCACTGGGCATTGTTTAACAGATCCTATCCCCACTGGCGTGTCCTGGGCCCAACTGGACGACTTACCCAGTCCTGGATGCGGATATAGGCTGTTCCCTTCTGATTTCGAGGGGCCTATCCCCAACTTGGGTGGTGGGATGGAGGGGATCGGGATGGGGATGGGGATAGGGGTCGGTTAAGCGATACTGAACATTGGAAGATACGTTTGGACATGACACTGCTCGAATGGGCAACCAAATACGGGAAAAGAGTGGGGCCCTCGCGAGACACGCTGGAAGCCCGAGCTCGGAGGCCTTCTGACGGGATTTCCCTCAGGCAGCTGCCGACAGAAATGGCACGGGAAGCCGAGGGACACCGTTGGGGTCTCACCACGTCTGGACAACCAGCATCAAGACCCAAGATCAGTTAGTTGATGGTGAGGATGAACAGACCACAAGGATGGTGTAAGCAACTTTTCTTATGTGCGAACTGCGACGCAATGCCCGTATCAACAATATTGGCCGTGCACCTGCGGATCCGAGGTTTGCTGGTAATACATGTTAGACTTGTATGCGCGCACTCATCTCGATTCAGCTGTGCTTGGCTGATGTTTGGCTGACCAATCCATGAACGCCATACGGGTACCTCGACCCTGGCGACTCGACTCCGGGATGGGATGCGTCAGGACATGTTCGAACGTAACAATGAATGGTGAGGAGCTCAGATTGCATCGTTGTTCCGTGTCGCGCTGGGGCTCTTGAAAGAATCGCCAGAGGGGAAGGGTAGGGTGGAGATAGATAAGGAGATATTGTTTCTGCTCCTCCTCATCATCATTCCCTTCATGCTCCTCCTCGTACCACATGGACGCAAAACGTCGCGAGGCTGATCCTGCCCAAGCACAATACGTTCTCATTTCTCCTCTTCCCCCTCCTCCTCATTCATCATCCTCCCCTTTACAATGACGGAAGCGAATCATGACTAATATTTTGGAGGACCGCCCGGATTTCTTGGGTTGGCGCGATACCCGTCTCCATGGCACTGGGAGCGCTAGAGGCACTGCCAAGGAAATCCAGCGCTGGCCCAAGAAATTCACGTGGACCTCTGACGATGAATGCTAATGCGGCTTAACGTTTTCCACACCTCCCCCTGGGTTGGGCGTTGCTTAATGGGGGGGTCACAAATGGGGGGGTCAGAAACGGTCCCCTTTCGTGCCCCTTTCGGGCCCCTCCGAGGCCCCAGGGGGCTCGTTTGGGTACCGTTTGGGTACCTTTTCGGACCACCCTCGCCACCCCCCCGTTTATGACCCCCCCATTACGCAACGCCCAACTGGGGAATCTGTGACGGGTTCCGGGAACTCTGAACTCAACAAGCATTGACTCCTGTAGGAGGCGATTGTTATTGTTTCCGCTGGCTTCCACCAGCCTTCTGCTGGCAAAGCTGGCCCTGTTTTGCTTCCGCCGAAGAAGATACAATCTCTCGATCCCTCGAAGAGCAAGCCCCTTCTGGCACTCCTCATGTGGCGAACACGCCCGTCTACAGCAACCGTGCTACCACAAGGCGAGCGGAAAAGGATATCAGGCATTTGTTCTGGCCATGGCGAGCCGCGACACGGACAATTTTCCCGACCCAGGTTTATAAGGAACGGCGCAAAAAACCACTAGAGCCTGTCCTGAAAATCATCGCCGAAACAAGGAGGATAAATTTACGGCAGGGGCCCAGCGCAGATCCGAGAAATCTGCGCGGAACTCTGGTGCGATTTCTCCATTTACGTCGGAAACGATCCGACGTCCCGAAACGTTGAAGCACGGTGACGGATGGCAGCGTGCGGCTCCAGCACCTCAGGGACGGACCGATGCGCAGACGGGGCGGCACGCCGCTCGCGGCGGGGGGGTACGCGGGGAGGCCGCGGAGCGCGCGAGGGCGGGCCGCGGTGCGCTCTTCTCGCTGCTCTGGCCGGCGGCGACGTCCGCAACGGCTCCCCGAGGGCTGGCAGGTGGGCCCGGGCAGAGACTGCGCAGGCACACTTCCGCCCTACGATGATGAGATGAGGAGGGGAGGAGGAGGTGGACGAGGAGGGGGGTGATAACGAGGAGAGGAGAGGAGAGGAGAGGAGAGGAGAGGAGAGAGGAGAGGAGAGGAGAGGAGCGCGGGCGCGAGAATTGGCGCGTGCGTCTCTGCAAGCTCGACGTGTTCTGTGGCGTCCTCCTCTTCTTCCTCCTCCTCCTCACCATCATCATCACCTGTACTTCCCCGCCCCCAACAAAAAACAACGACAACGACAACGACAGCGACAACAACAGCAACCGAGAACAACACACCAACAACAACTTCAACAACAGCAGCAACAACAGCAGCAACAACGTCAACAATCTCAGCACCAACAACAACAATGACACTCTACATCCTGGTGTTGCATATGGCCGTTGTCTTTTCCCAACCTCCTATGTGGGGTTCTTCTTCCCCACACCGTAACTGGGTTTCTGGCTTGCTCTGCACACCCCCGCGCAGGATATCCTTCTCCACGCTGCCTCACCATCATCATTGTCACCATCATTCATTCACGCACGGTCACACTCACACACCCACGCACTCATCATGATCATGATCATGGTCATCACTATCACCATCATCATCATCATCATCATCATCATCATCATCATCATCATCATCATCATCATCATCATCATCACCCTCAGGCCTGGATATGGAGGGAATATCAGGCGGGAGCCTGGACTGTGAGTGAATTGCGGCGAAGTCTCAAGCGGGAGCCTCGTCTGCGAACGAAGCCGGAGGCTCCTCCCTATGGGGCCCGCAGGTCGCGTTTTGAAACCGAGACAGTCATCCACAAACCTATAATTGTCGTCACTTTTGCGCTCCACAGGCTTGAACATGGAGGGAGTCTCAGACTGGGGCCTCGCTTGGGAGTGAATTGCGAGGGCGCCTCAGGTGGGAATCTCGTCCCTTATTGGGCCCGCAGCTAATTTTCTTCATAAGACAAAAAAATCGAGCGGGTCGTCCTCAAACTTGTAACTGTCGTCACATTTGGGATCCACAGGCCTGAATACGGAGAGGCTATCGAACGGGAACCTCGTCCGTAAGTGGATTGCGAAGAGGTCTCAGGCAAAAGACTCGCGTGTGAGTGAAAAGCGACGCAGTCTCAAACGGGAACCGCCTCTGAATGGGGCCCGCAGCTCATGCTTTTTTACTCGGGCGGGTCATCGTTAAAACTTATACATGTCGTTACTTGTTGGTTGCTCGGGCCTGGATATGGAGGGGATATCCAGCGGAAGCCTCATTTGTGAGGGACTTGCGAAGCAGTCTGCGGCGGGAGCCTTGTCTGGAAGTGATTTGCGAGGAATTCTCCAGCGGGGGCCTCCTCCCCATGGGGCTGGGAGTTCCTTGTTAAAAAACTCTCGCAGGCCATCTTAAAATCTATAGTTGTCAGCATTTTAGGGCTCCACAAGCTTGAATATAGAGGGATTATGCCTCGTCTGTGAGAAACTTGAAAAGAAGTCTCAGGCGGGAACCTCGTCTGGGAGTGGACCGCAAGGAAGTCTCAAGTGGGAGCCTCCTCCCTATGGAGCCCGCAAGTCCACGTTTTGAATCCGAGAGGGTCATCCTTAAAAACTGTCATCATGTTGAGCTCCTCGGGCCTGCATTTGGAGGACATATCAAGCGGGGGCGTCGTCTGTGAGTAGATTTTTAGACAGTCTCAGGAAGGGTCCTCGTCTGGGGGTGGATGGTAAAGAAGTCTCAAGCGGGAACGCCCGTGTGGGGCCCGCAAGTCCACGCGTTGACGCCGAAAAAAACATTTAAAATATTTGTCACTATCGTCACTTTTGGGTTCCTCAGGCCTGACTATGGAGGGGATATCATGCGGGAGCCTCGTCCCTGAGTGACTCGCGGAAACGCCTCAAGCGGGAGCCTCGTCTGGGAGCGACGTGCAAGGAGGCCCACGGCGGGAGCATTCCCCCTGTATGGGGCCTGCAGCCCACGTGTTTAACCTGAGCGGGCCATCCTCAAACTTGTAACTGACACTAGTTGTTGGGATCCGCAGGCCAGAATATGGAAGGAGTACAAGGCGAGAGCCTCGTCGGTAAGTAATGTGCGAGGAAATCTGTGGCGGGAGCCCACACCCTATGGGGCTCGCAACTCGCGGTAGCAATCCGAGCGGGTCGTCTAAACACATATAACTTTCATCACTGTTGGGTTCCTCAAGCCTGAGTGTGTGTGTGTGGAGGGGGGTATGAAACGGGAGCCTCGCCTGTGAGTGAATCGCGAGAAATCTCAAACGGGAGCGCCTCCCTATGGGGCCCGCACTTCACGTTAGCAGTCCGAGCGGGCCACCAAATTCCTGCAAACGACGTCACTTTGGGGCTCCTAAGAGTTGGAGCAGCTCGCGGCATAGCTGGAACTTAAGCTGCCTCCCGCCTGAGCGCGGACGCGATTAGCTCGAAACGTGCGGGGTTGTCCCAAAGGCTGGCTGCCGATCCCCAGCGGCTCGCGGGGTTGTCCCAACGGCCTCGCCCGCGGGGCTGCCCTAACGGGGGTGCTACAGCCCCCACGGCAGCCGCGGAACAGGTAGGCGCGCCCACAACTCAGAGCCGCGCCGAGGACGCGCTCGGACCACCTCAACTCTAACCCAAGCTCGCTTCACCTGGCCTCTTCGCCGCTCCCTGCCCCACGCCGCCTGCTGCGCCGTCACCTTGTACTGTCCACAGCGCCTTTCGCCGTATCCCCCCCCCGGACCACCCACCGCACACTCCGCTGCGCCCGCCGCGTCGCACGCACCTAGGAGCACCTGCACCCTTCTCGCCTCACCTCGGACATCCAGGCAGGATGGGAGGTGAATGGGCCTCACTCCAGGAAG